TGAATCTGCAGAACACACTGCGAGCAATAGGAGCTGGAGCTGGAGTGCCTGTTCTCAAAGGACTGGAAGGAATTCAGCCTTGCCAGCCTTTCTTAAGTGTGTGCTGGCATTCCCCAAGGAAACTACAGATTTGGGTCATCCCTCTGCAGGCCAAGGGCTTGCTTCTCAAGGGAAGTGCTTCCCAGAGAGTTCTCGCTGAGGTAGCGCCAAATGTCTCCCTCTGGCTCTCAGTGGTCCTGTCCCATGGCACTTGGGAGAGGGGCAGGAGAAGGGGGAAGGCTGTGAAGAGCAGCCTTGGCTTCTGCCTGGACCTGCAGAGACCAAGCCAAGCACCTGCCAGCAGGGTCTGTCACCCACCTTTCAGCAGAGGTCTGAGCAGGAGCATCTCTGTCCAGCTGAGAGCCCCAAAGCTCTCACAGAGACCTGCAAAGTAAAAAGCCTTTATCCACACCCTTATTCTACCTTATCTCTCTTAGTCATCAGGTTAGGTCAGTCTAATTCAAGGAACTCACTGATTTCCCAACCCAATACACCCATCTGCTCACACCTACAGGAGGTCAGAAAACACATGTCTATCCAGCACTTGAAATGACAGAAATGTGCAGGCATCCATACTGCAGCAGTGTGACAACAGATATTGTAGTCAGGCAAATAAGGCCACCACCTCTGCAGCACAGCAGTCCAATCCCACACGGAACCAGCCCCAGCACAACCACCATTCCAGCCACCCAAGAGGACAGGGCCTCTCTCAACAGCAAAGAGGAAACACCCCCTGCAAAGCAAACATGAAGAAAACCCTCAAAACCACAGCTCACTCTCCTCAGCTCCCTCCTTTGCCTTCTCCAGAGGGCTCTGGGCCATATTTACAGCTGCTTTAGCACAAGTCCCAGGAGCAGCTGCTCTCCAGGGGCACAGCCAACCTGGGAAGCTGGGCACACACCCACTGAGCAAACCCCAGCAACTCTGCTCCGCCTGAGGCAGCCCCTCAGCTCAGCCACTGGAGCTGGGCTGGGGCCCTTCTGTCCCACACTCAATCCCAGCACTGACTGTCTCACACAGAACACCTTCAGGGCATCAACCTCAAGCCTAGACAGAGGCTACCTGAGCCCTCCCTAACAACAATAAAAAGAGCACCAATATCTCCTCTACACCTATTCATCAGTCCCTGTAAGCACCCCAAAGCTGCAGCATCACACCTCAGCCACAGACCCTGGCTGACAGCAGAAAGAACCACTCATCTCCCTGCCCTCGAAGCTGTCGCTGGGACCGGCGGAGCGCAGCAGGTCCTGAAAGTTGGCCACATAGTCATCGTAGCCGATGGGGGTTTCGTGGAAGACGGAGAGCTCGATCTGATGGCCGTCGGACACGGTGGCTGAGAACTCCTCGTTGTAGGTGGGTTTGTTGGTTTTCTGCTTGGTGCTGGTTTGCCCCACGCGCACCTGGTCCACGCTGACGGTGACATAGGGATCCAGCAGCTGGTAGCCCTTGCGGAAGAGCGAGTGCCGGAGGGACCAGCGGGTGGGCTGCAGCCCCACCGCCTCCCCGATGCGAACCTTCAGGTCGCCGCTGAACT